AAGCTTGATTATCGCATTATGGTATGGAAGTTGCTTTGGAGTTGGTTGCGTTCACACAGTTGCTGACAGTGTTTTCCGACAGCCATGCCTCTGCATTATGTACTTTCTGAGTAAACACGCCACGAACCCCGATAGGCATTTCCACCGCGACTGACCATCGTAGACTACGTCGATCGAAACGCCATTGCTCAGGCACGACTCAACAACCTAGAGGAAGATCTGAACATGTCAGGCACACAGTTCAATACAACTGTTTCCATGTAAGAAATTTTACTCCCCAATAAAGCATCTGAGAAAGCTTCCAGGTTAAAGTCGGAAGTCAGCTCTGGAGGATGGCTATAAAGTGGCAAAGCTGACAGATGTGCAGTCTCTTCGTTGGTTACGTTTTGATGCAGATCCCCTCGAACATGTTGATCACTCGAATTCAACCCGGCATATACATGAGTGCGTGGATGTTGATCTGGGCTGTAGTGTCGGGATGCACAGCCCTCGTTCAGAACTATGGCGGCCTCGTGGCTTGCAGATTCTTCCTGGGTATCACTGAGGCTCCGGTAAGTCGCCGTTAAATAAACGAAAAGTGTGTCATGCAGGCTGACAGACTCTTCCAGTTCTACCCCGGCGCCACCTACATGCTCTCCATCTTCTACACTCGTAAAGGTGCGTCAGCCAAGACTCTAAGGCACTCCGGAGGCCACTTAACTGATACACATCGCAGAGGTTGCCACGCGCATTGCAGGACTCTATTGCGCTCAAATTCTGGCCACCGGGCTATCAAGTTTGATCGCTGCAGGTATCTTCGCCGGCATGGATGGTCTCAATGGAATCGCAGGTTGGCGATGGCTTTTCATCGTTGAGGGTGCCATCACTGGCTTCGTTGCCCTTGTCGGCTTCTGGCTCCTGCCCAACACGCCTCTGACCACACGCTGGCTCAACGATCGAGAGAAGCAACTGGCTCACTCTCGCATGGAGAAGGATAAGATCTCCGATGCATCAGACGAGAAGGCGTCTGCCATGGAAGGTCTTAAGCAAGCCTGCCGTGACAAGCGCACCTGGCTCTTCTGCCTCATGCAAAACTTCCACCTGTCGGCCTGCTCCTTCAACTCGTTCTTTCCCACGTAGGTTTTCAACTTGTACTCAGCTGTCGAGCGCACATCAGCTAACGATTCTTCGACAGCGTCATCAAGACCCTTGGATTCAACACGACGATTACACTAGTCATGACCTGCCCACCTTTCATCTTCGCCGGTGCTGCAGGAATCTTCTTCGGATGGAGCTCCGGTCGCCTCCATGAACGGACATGGCATATTACCGTCGGCCTCGGGGTCGCCATTGTTGGCTTCGTCGTCGCTGCTTCCACTCTGAATACCGCAGCTCGTTACACAGCATCTTTCATTTTGGCTGCGGGCGCGTACTCTGTCAACTCAGGTAAGCAACTTACTGATCAGTATCGATGCCTTGATTGCTGACCTTTTTAAGTCATCATTGGTTGGGCTTCATCGACACTTTCACAGACTAAGGAGAAGAAGGCCGTTGTCCTCGCCATGACTAACGTTGGCGGCCAGGTATGTCCAGTTTTTTGTAGCCTCCTATCTTGACTCATCACTGACATAAATTTTCCAGATCGGCTACATCTACGGTGCATACCTCTGGCCCAAGAGCGACGAGCCTCGATATGCTATTGGGTTTGGTGCCTCGGCGGGTTTCGCTTTGCTGTCGATCGTTTGCGCTTGGTGGATTCGCGTTCTACTGGTCAGAGAGAACAGAAGAATCAGAGCGTCTACATCGGAACACGTGAATCTCTACGGGTATTAGGGTCCGACTGTGGCGTCTTTGGATAGTATTGGAGGTATTGCAGGCATGTTGCTATATGGTGAGACCCTGAGTACGCCAAGGCGGAGCGTTGATACCACGGATATGCATATGGATGCACTATTAGCGACAATATAATAATTGAATCACAGAATATGAATACACGACTCAAACTTGTGAAGCACTATTAGCTGATCTTGTTTGAGAGCTGGCTTATTTATATCTATGGTCTACACGACTCGAGTCTCGTATCTCATTAATCATCTCGCTGGTTACATCTGCCTGAAAGGCGTTTGCTCCGAACTGGCAAAGACATTTGCTTTAAGCCAACAGCAATCCGATTGCGGTAGGCTGCTGCAGCAAAATGCTTGGGCCAGCAACAACAGTTTCCAACTCAGGCGCACCTGGTTCGTCTGCCACGACGGTGATGATAACGCCCTTCTCCTCAAAGTTCGCTGGGATAGTGACATTCACCAAATCTCCAGTCTTCCAGTTGGAGACGTCGATTGGCACACTGACGTTACCGACAGCGTGGAAGAATACCGCATAGTACGACTTGGTATCGTTGAACTTGGGTTGATCCGTCGGGCTGGTGAAGTTGAAGGAGACTTCGGCCCCAGGAGCAATAGACTTAGTGCCTGAAGTAGCAGAAAGAGGCGGGAGGTGTTGGTTGGGGTTTGGGTATTGAGGGTTCTCGGGAGGACAGCTTCCGGGAACAATGAAGACGTTGGTCATGTCCAAGATCTGGTTCGCATATGGAAAGACCGTATCGCTTGGTCCCGAGAATGGATTCGCGCCCCAAACGTCCGCCAATGACCACGTCTTATGTCTCGACTCGACAGTTGCGATTGCCACCATAGCCCCTCGCGCAGCCTCACTCTTGGGTTCTTGAACCAAACCAGTCAAGAACGCCATGCTCGCGACCTCGAGAAACGTGGTCAATGCCAAGTAGCTGGTGGGATCCTCGAATGGATACTCGTATTTGCAAGCGCCTGGTTTTACGCTCTTGTTCGAGATCTCGTTCTGGAAGATTCTCAAATGCCCTGCCTCGTTATCGCGGATTTCCGCAATGCGATCATACGTGGTGTTGAGGAAGCCGGCCTTGACGAATGATGAGGTGTTGAAAGCCTCAAATCCTTGCTGGTAGAAGTTGAAGATCGCCCACTCGGCAGCTAAGAGATTCTGCCAAACCTGGTCGTCGGGGTCTGGGTCGCCTGACTCAGTGGGGAGGATCGGTGAAGTAATGTTGCCTGGGAATGGAGCCGCTTTGCCACGGTAGTCGCTGTAGAGTCTTGACTGACCCGGGATAGAACCATATTTCGGGTCGGCCAGCTTCTGCGCTTCTGGGTCTGGAGTCGGGGCTGGTGACACCGCGGTTGGCAGAGTTGCCAGCAATGAAGAGAACAGGAAATATGTCGACGACGTATACATGTTTAGGATGATGAAAGAATTTTGCGGTTGTAAGTTGTGTTGGGACAGTTCTCACTCGACAGATAAATTCGTCGCCCTTATATCCTCATCAGAAATTTGAGCTATCTCAATGAGCGGGCACCATTCTTGAGAAAGCGTGATGGCTGCCCGCAGGTAGTCAGAATGGCTTCGTTGAATAGACCCAATTAGGAAATTCTCTTCTAGACAACTGCCGATCACAAGCACTGCTGCGCAAAATGATCTTTCTGAAAAGATTCAAAGCCTTGCAGTATTATTTCCGGCACCAAAATGAAGTCATCAGTACTTACGTATCTGCGTTTGTGGCGTCTTCGGCAGGATTTTGGTGGCGTCGTGAAATTCACCAAATCGGGCAAAATTGAACCCGCTAGCTTTCTTTTGCGCTCCGTAGTTTCTGCAAGTCAATTTTGCGGCTTTGAAAGCTTCATATTACGGGAATAAGGTCTCTGCATGGCTATGTCTAGACTAAATCAGTGCTTCTACTCAAGCCTTGCCTAGCGTGAGGCTTCTATGTTGATCACTTTCGTCAGCTCTTTAGTGCTCACTGAACGGCTTCTCGGCATCAATGATGTAATCCAATAGCATAGCGAAGGTCAGTATCAGGCGGTACATGCATTATAAGTGAGTTAATCACATGAAATCTACCCGTTCTACCAGCAACTCGTGGCAGCTGTGGCTAACCTTACGAGCACCGCCACCCGAGAGGGGCAGTTGTCGGTTTCTATCTGGTCATGAAGAGATCTGCATTATCACACCCACAGATGAAGCAGAGCCTATGGTTCCTGTACTTGGTCTGTCAGATGCGAGAGTTCGATGACTAGCTACGCCTCTGCTGCTTTTGCTGTCCTTTAGAAGCGCCCTCTCCGGCTCGGACCGAGGCTATGAAGCGGTGAAGATGATGCATCATATTGGATCTCGATGTCACCAGCCATTTTGACAATGATCAATCGACTTCCATGGCCAACGCATATTGACGGTGGAGAAGGGCACAACAAAGACCACCAATAGCTTAGTGGATATTGGTGATCGAGTCAAACAGCCCCGAGAACCTGGGCATGTGGGGAAGCGCCGCAGGTGTGTGTGTTCGTCTCAATTGCCTTTTGCAGCAAAAGGGATAACTTTCTTTGACAAAATCATACTCTCAGAGTTCAACTTCCCCTCATTACGGCTTGAGAGTCCGATATAAGTCGCGCACTTTGCGTCCGATGAAAGTCTCTAAACTACCTCGCTCTCGCTATGATTCGGTCTCGCAATTTTCATAACTTGCGCCTGCATCGTCCTGTACTTTCCCCAGAGGACTGGAATAGGAAAACGTCCCGCAGGTTAGAAAACCTTTGTACACAGCATTAACGATGCTATTGGTTATTCTGACTCAGGAATCACAGGGATGGCAAGTAAAGAACCACTAGAGGGGGACACTCACCACACGCAACGCTTGCTATTACAACGTCACCTCCGGATAGAGTTTGAAGAGAGCCGCCGTTACCCTTGCCGCCTCCTAGTGTCCGGTCTCCATCGTCAAGCTTTTCGGCCAGGGAGGCCGGCGGTATTGCCCGTGCGGAAGGGCGGGCGAATACTCCACAAAAGATCCGAGTGCCGATGCATGAAATAAAGGGTTCCATCATCGGTCCGTTAAGTTGACGACTCGACAGCACCTGGTTTCTTCCTCTTGCATACGATCATATTCCGAGCATTTGCACTTGTTCTTGTTGTGAGAGCGCAGATGAAGTTGGTCTCACAGCATGAACGTGACAGTTGAGGACACTTCTTTGTTGCCTACGCTTGTGGCAAGATGGCCTCTAGTCTTTACAGCTCTCATCACCCTCATCCCTGTCATTGCCGCAAAATGGGGTTTCAAGAAGGATCGCCTGGGTCACATACCAAGCGTGGGAGCCGGCAGAACAAAAGAGCAACGAAGACAGGAATTCATGGCGCCAGGAGGAGCCAGAGGGCTTTACAGAGAAGGGTATGAAAAGGTAATGATATGATCGCGATCTGGAAAGATCTCTCTTCTGATGAATATCTCAGTTCAAAGGTCGCGCATTCCAGATTATGACTGCAAGCGGTAGGCCATACCTCTTCTGTTTGTCTACTAATGATGACCGACATCAACTTGAACCTAGCTAAACAAACAATTACAGAACTGCCAACCGTGGTCATCCCCCCAAAGTTCATCCCCGAGCTTAAGAAGCTGTCCGACACTGTCTTGGGGTTCCAGGAGGCCACCGATGAGGTAGGCGGTCTGCTCCATGCAAGCTCGAGCCAAGCCCCTGACAGAACTTGTGTTGTGTAGGCCATCAACAATCAGTATCTTGACATCCCGACCGACACAACAATGCTCGCACATACGGTCAAAGTCTCGCTTACGCCAGCCCTTGGTTGGTTCCACAACAATTGCTGGCATTTTGTCTCGTGGTTTACTAACTTGAACTGAAAGCACGCCTTAGCCCAGCCATTGCTGCCGAAGTAACGCATGCCATTGACACAGAGCTCCCTCCGTGCAAGGACTGGACCGAGGTCCCTATCAACAACAAGCTGTTTAGAATTGTTGCGATGGCATCCGGGCGGGTCTTCGTCGGACCGGAACTTTGTCGCAATGAAGCCTATCTCGACACTGCTATTAACTATACCGTCGACATGGTCAACGCAGTTCTTGGTGTGATGGGTCTGCCAGCTTGGCGGCGGAGATTCTCAAGCCGAAGGCTACCTGAAGTCAAGAAACTATTTCAGCGTTTCAAAGAAGCTGAAAACTTTCTAGGGCCAGTGGTCACGGCCCGACGAGATGCCATGGCGAAAGCGGACTACGAGAAGCCCGATGATATGTTACAATGGTTGATTGATGCCCAGGACAAATCCAAGCACGGCTCACGCAACGATGCGGAGCTGGCAATTTGGCAACTAGGTGCCAGCTTTACTGCAATTCATACTACGACGGCGACAGCGACGAACGCGTAAGTCCCCCTTATAAGCCTTGGTTGCGAATTTGACTGACCATCATCAAAGATTGTACACATTAGCATCGATGCAAGACATCATCCCGGTCCTTCGAGAAGAGATTCAAGAAGCACTTGCAGGGTCCGGCAACGAGTTCACCAACGCTGCGTTGCAGAACATGGTCAAGCTGGAGAGCTTTCTCACCGAATCAATGCGTACTTATCCCATGAGTGCCGGTATGACGTTCCCCTTAGACTTCTGGAATGCTACACCTCTGACACAACTCTTAGCGAATGCTCAGCGCAAGGTTCTCCAACCTTTCACTCTTTCCAACGGCCAAACGATCCCATCTGGTGTCCTCATCGAACTACCATCGGCCGCCGTCAACATGGACGATAATCTCTATCCCTCAAGCAGCCAGTTTGGTGCCTTCCGGTTCTCCAAGTTACGGCAAAACAAGGTCAAAGCTACAGAAGATGGCACCGAGGTTGGTCACTTGTTCTCGAGCGTGGGACAAACGAGTTTGAACTTCGGGTTCGGCCGACACGTCTGCCCAGGTCGCTTCTTCGCGTCTGTCGAGATCAAGATGATCGTTGCCATAATTCTGTTGAACTTTAACATCATGCTCGCGGAAGGCGAGACAGAGAGATACAAAAACATTGAAATTGGCGTTCAGGTAAGTTTCGCAAACCATTGGCTAAGGCTACGTAGCTGACGTTTCTGCCTAAATGAAGTCCATGCCGGACCCCGCGAAGACAATTCGACTAAAACGACGCTCATAACGTTTCACTAAAACCATACGATACCGGTGGTCTGGTTTTGACCCCCTCTTGGTTGACCAACAGTCGTGGACGTTTGCTGCACTACTTCAAGCGACGAGCAGCAACGGAACTCTACATAATGTTGTGCTGAGCAAATTTCAGGAGTGATTGGTCACAAGTATTTCTGGCCGGTTGGTCGTGCATCAAAAGTTTCAAGTCACTTAGACCTCATAGATTGAGATTTAAATAACAGAAGGAGGCTGTGTAGAAGAACTATGATATGGATCCCAAACCTAGCCACAATGCACGGTCTGCCCCGGGCGCAAGTTCTGCACGTCCAAAAGCAACGGCCCATGTGATTTTTATGAAGTCATTGATGTGAGATTCATCAGACGAAGGCCCTCCTCCATGAAGGATCTGAGAACTGGGTCTCTTGCAATAACCATCGCGAGTATTCTGTCAACACCAACCAGCAAAATATACACCATGTCTTTGCCAATTAGAAACGTGGCCGTCATCGGCGTGAGTTTGGACGTTTAACATCGATAGCTTCGTTGACTGACATGCATGCATAGGCAACCGGGCTTTTGGGCTCAGAGATAGCATCGGCGCTGCAGAAGGCTGGCTTCATAGTAACGGCAATTCGACGCGCCGAGTCCACCGCACCAGTCCCAGTAGGAATGGAGTCCATCCAAATTGACATCAACGACACCAACGCTCTCACCTCGGCTTTCCAGGGGCAAGATGCCGTCATCTCAGCCGCACCAGATCCGATCTCATTCTCGAGCCAGAAGCACTGGATCGACGCCGCCATCGCGGCCGGGGTGAAGCGCATCTTTCCATCCGAGTACAGCACGAACCTCGACTCGCCGCTGGCTGAGACACTTCCGGTTGTGACAGAGAAGGTTCGCACTCGGCGGTACCTCGTTGAGCAGATAGCCAACACAGCTGGTAAATCAAGCTGGACGAGCATTAACAACGGTCCTTTCTTTGAGCTGGTCCTCGGCTTTGGAGGCTTGGGACCGGACTTCCGGACGAAGACGGCGAAGTGGCATAATGGCGGGGCGAACTTGGTCGGCGCCACCAGATTGCCTGACATTGCCGAGGCGATCTGCAAGGTCCTCAAAGATGAGAATGGACTGTACCAGGAGGCTGAAAACAAGTCCGTGTACATCCACTCCGCGGTAGTCACCGAGAAGCAGTTGACAGAGATGGCCGAGAAAGTCACAGGTCATAAGTTTGATGTTGAAGAGCGGGACGTGGAGAAAGTTTATCAGGAGGCGAAGGAGCGATTGCAGAAAGGTGACAAGTCTGGGATGATGTTGTTCTATTTGCAGATGATGTACGGGAAAGGGTATGGCGGCAGTGAAAGCTTTCAGGAGATGAGCTGGAATGAGAAAGTTGGTCTGAAGATATTGACTGAACAAGAGATTGAGAATATTGTCAGGGGAGTTGCTGAAAAGTCCGGGCTATCTCAGTGATGATTATGTGTAGGCAGGACATGATACAAGACAGGGAATTCTATGGAAACCACTTTGCGGCAAAGCTTTGAGCATTTCACTTCAGACAAACCGCATGGTCCTATTACTAATTCAGTAACCATGTATTCTAATTTTTAACCTTGTGTCTCTCGATAGACATCATGACTGCGGCGAAGATGTGAGGGTTCGTCGAATTTGTTCCTCTCATTTCTTGCTTCCGGAATGGTGACCCCAGCCACCTCCACCTTGGCGACCGCCGCGGTTGGAGGCGTTTCCGGTATTGTCACTGTGACCACCGCGGGTGCCGGAGGCCTGGGCGCCGGTTCCAGTCGGACCATTGGGGCCAAGGGGCTGAGAGTCGGAGTAGAGAGGAGGGTTGATGTCGTTGCTAGACATGGCGGCTTCTTGAGTACTTGTGAGGCTTTCGAAATGGATACTTAGGTATATAGCGTTGATGGGTTGAAGATGTTGGTGTTGGAGTTTTCGTTGATGTGCTTGATGAAGATTCCATAAGGCTGAGAATCCAGACTCAGCTGCTGCACTTTTATATATGAGTTCGTTTCAGTAAGCGTGAATCATCATGTCGGTGGTGCATGTTGATGGTTACACCTGGTTCTTGTGATGTTGGACAGTGACTGCAGGGACGGGTAGGCTGCATATTGAGAGGGGACTTTTGAGTATATTCACCAATCCAACTAGTTATGTAGACTTCACCAATTATTCAGACCACGCGATAAGTCATTGTTCTCAGTAAAGCATTGAGGTCGATATAAGACAAGGTATTATAGTCACTGAAACGAGTCGCCGGTGTGCTGAGTTTTCAGCCTCTGACCGTCAACACCAAAGTACAAGTTTACCGTCAATGTCTTGTCTTGAAACCGGGTTCTAGCATCATGACAGCGTAGCCCTTGTATGGTTAGATGTTGACGTGGTCTGCGTGAGCACCAATACTCATTGAAACATACAGCTCTGCTGATGTATGGTCCTTGTACTCATGAGCTCAGCTCATGTCCACATTGACAGCCCACAATCGAGCCTCAGTTCAGCATGACCGGGGAAGTGAGACGTGAGAATATGTTAATTTTCACGTCCGTGGAGATCTTTAGTCTTACGGACTGCATTCGCTTCCTAGAGCTGCTCCTAAAGCCATAATTCGGTAACCAAGAAGCAGGCCTGTTTGGCACCTCTGGAACTAGTCATAAGTGAGTACCGTTGCTCATTGCAGGGACCATGTCAACTGTGTAAGACTACAACCACGCTCATTCGAATAACTATCACTTGTACAGACGTAGTTAAATAGATTAGGGTGATCTGACTGACGGCGTGCTAATAATTTTGACCAACCTAACCCGTAGAATGTGTCAGAGCACCTATCCTCTAAGAAGTCTTGAGACCATGAACCGATGTCAATCCAGGCTAGTATCATCATAATGTCCCCTCTTCAATCTTCCAAAGACTGTACGAAGAAGCTTAAGCTTATCATACTGCGTACCCTGGCCAGCCCCTATGCTTAATATCAATACAAAAAAGCTTCCCCATCTATCCACAAAGATCCGAGTCTCCCGGTGACAGCATACTTAACAATAAGCATAACCCAAACCACGACCCACTCACCAAACTTCTGAGAGCGTACCTGAGAAGGCAATGGTTTTCTCGCCCCCCGGTGCGGGCCGCAAATGGAAACCCCTCTACTTTACTCTGTTCAATCAACGTCTCCAGGCATCTTTAGCTTCAACACACCTGCTACATATTCATGCCCCCCAAATTCAGGGTACAACATTTCACTCCAACGACATTAACCGTTTCCCTCACTCATATGAGGGCTTTCCCATATCCCCATCGCGCGAGCCGGCACATCCGGGGAGGTGACTTACACATAACCCGTCACCTGATTCACACATCCCACCGCACACACCTCCCCCTCCCGGAAAACCGTCTGAACATAGTCCCTCCCCAGGAATACTTGCCCAAAGGAGCAGGCCAAGTGTGTGGAGCACATCAAGCCAGAAAAAAACAGCAGAAAAGACACCCGTTCGGACGACTGGCTTTGGGGTTCATTTTCACATCCGGACAAGCGTCTTATTTCCGCTTTCCTTCACGGACGAGAAGGCGTTTGGGTGAGCTGTTAGCTCCGGATGGGGCCGCTGTGGGGTTTGCGATGTTGTTCTTCAACGGGCGCTCCAGCAAGCGGGTTGCCATTTTTCTGCCCAGGGTACGGACATGTAGATGTCGTGGTTGCAGCAGTCACGGGAGAGATAGCAGAGCGTAGTATCACTGATAAGTCGAAGCTCCGAGGAACTGCACGGGGGGATGCGCCGCATGTGACATTGAGGCGTTGCTTTCGCAGTGGCATCTGCCAGCCGACCCCGACTTCAAACATTACGGAAACTTTTGGGCCGCTGCGTGTGCCGCTGGACAGGCCGTGCCTGTCTGTGCCTGTGCTGCTGCAGCGCTGCAGTAAGCGCTGCGGTGGTGCCCTGCGTCCTCCGGTCTTGGTATGGAGGTGGGCTTGTCAAAGCCGGTTCAGCTTCGGCCGAAGGCTGACGGGATTGCGCCAGGTCCCTTTTCTCTGCGCCCACGTCGGATGAAATCTGGCGCTATTCCGCATGGGGCAATAACGCTGGAAAGAGTAGTTTACGAATACCTGGGCACTGCGGACCGGGTCATCATCGGGCTGGAGGCTTTGGGATCGGTGCTCTGGGGGACGATGGCCGTCCGGGTGATCACGGAGGTCGGAGAGATTTGAGCTGGCGACGTTGTTTTTTGGGCAGGAATGGGAAGATCATTCTCGTCGTGGGTCGGGTCGATTCCGGAGTCCGACCAGGATTCGAAAGACCAGCGACAGTGACAGTCCATTGGAGCAGCCCGGAGTTTCTCTTCTACTTCAGGGACAGTCTGCCCGGCTTGGGTCCGGAGGGGTCACGCACTGCACATGAAGAACGCTCCGAGGCTGCTGCTGCTGCTGCTACCTACTGATACATACTTCGTACTGCTGATCACTGGGAACGCTGAGAGGGAGGCCAGAGGACGGGTTCTTCAGGGCCGAGCAGCGCGTTGACGACCAAGTATCCGATGGTTCGCCAATGGACTGGCTTGATGGTGCCGGCCAGCTGGGCTTAGGGCGTTCTGGGCTCGGCTAGGCCCCTCTGGCAGGCGATTTACGAGTGGTGCGTGTGTCGGCACCATGTCTTTTACGGCGTCAAATGATGGTGGAGAGTGTGATTTCATTGATTTTGCTTGAGCGGAGGCTTGGGACTTGGGTCCCCATAAAACCGCGTTCGAGTTCGGGTTCGTATTGCGGGGACGCGAGGACGGGCATCCCACCGTATGTATGGGGGGCATATATTAGGAGAAGCCCGTGCAATCTTAATAGTTCAGGATAGCATGTTGCCGTTGGTTGCAGGTGCAGGACTGAAGTTTAGGTGAGCGTTAACATTGTCGGTCTGTCTGTCAAAGCAACTCTGCATCTCTATTTTGGATTCGAGGGTTATCAATCAGGGTTGCCTGCCGACGGGAGAGAATGATGTGAGACGGGTTGACGGGATCTCGGGGTGTTCTTTCGGCCAAAGTCTGAGGTAAGGGTGAGGTGAGGCGAGGTGAGGTGGTAGTGTCCTTGCAGATCCAACGAGATGTGACACTGTGAATGGCGCGAAAATGCGATTGGAGCGGTCACGTCGTGCAATCACACGCTTCCATCACGTTCTAGGGCGCCGCCGAGCGAGGGCGCAGTGGATGGTAGGTAGGTGGTATCTGGTGTTTGTACTTGTTGCACGGAGAAGCGCAAGGTTCAGCGGGCCTTGCGTGGCGACGGATCCGGGGTACCGGGTTCGCGAGTCGCAAGATGCATCACGCATCGCATCTTGTGTGTTTGCGGTTCCTGGATCACGAATAAAGATTGTGATGCCTACGGGAAAGATCGAGGACGTGCAATGCTATGCCTCGGTCGATCGTGATACATGATACACGGGATATAGCACTAGCATTCGATCTTATCAGCTTCCGATATCTACCCGGGCAGACGACATGTTGCGCCGCAAATTGTTTCACACGGGGGAATGCATGGACTGGGATGTCAAGGAATGGATGGGAGGTAATCATTCTGGAGTCTGGGTCTGGCGGGCTTCCACCAGAATCTGGCCTGTGATCGTGAATGATGTTGACGTCCTGGCTGGCGGGTGGCGGATTCGGAAGCGGCTGTCGTCCCCGATGGCGGGGTGTTGGCTGCTTCATGGGATACGATTCGTCTCTATCTCTCTCTGTTGATCAACGAGTTCGGCCAGAGATTCCATGAATGTCCGCACCTTGCAGATAAAGTCAATGCTCCGTCTTGATTTCCCTTCTAGACCGTCTGGTCTCGTCTCGACTTGCTGGAGTGAGTTGTTGGTGGTTGCCGCCATGCTTGTCTCTGTGTCATGCTGGTGCATACTCGTCCGCCAGACATCGCTTACGGCAAGTAGAGTGCTTAGGACGAAGGTTGTCGAGGTGTTGGGACGAGTCAGAGGTCCAGACGCCACGGGAAGAACATGAGCAAGAACACACACAAACCAAGGCACCAAGGGGGAGGGAGTGTGAGGGGAAAGACACTTTCTGCTCAACGTGTCCAATGCCGTTTAGTGGTGAGACTGCGCTAAGACGGGGTTGGGGTTGCCTCTGTTTCGCGGGCAACAGGCTCTGGTGGTAAGTCATGCTCGGCATGCTGATTGCGTAACCCAAACAACGTCAGTGGTTGATTACTTGCTCTCTAGTTTTGGGCTTTGTTTGTCAGAGTCATCGAATTTGGGTGCGCCGTGGCTCTTCGGGACGTTGCGAACAACCCGCCCGATCTGCTATCGGGATCGGAGTCGTGGAAAGTCGGCGCCCACTGCCAGATGTAGCGACGATCTCGGGGGACGTCTAAGGGGGGCCTCCGGGGGAGATTGGATACCTAATCAAGTCCGGTGTTGATGCGACTTTGGCGAGACCAGGGCCCTGGGAACCCGGTGGGAATCCTGACTCCAGAG